CGATCATCTGTGAGTCCCTCGAGCGTGCTCGAGGACGGGTCCGCTGGATTCCTCACGGCAGAATGCCGGTTGATGCTCTTACAAAAGACGACATCACCAAGTGCAATGCGGCGCTGTTTGACTTTATGTCTAGTGGCAAGATCGTTCTCGTGGATGAAGAGTCCGAGGTGGATAGACGCCGTGCCACCCCCGAGCTGAAGGACCGCTCCCAGTCAGCTTCCAGAAAGATGCTGGCCGGGCCTACCTGGATTTCTTGGAAGGAGTACCTGGACGAGCTTGTTCCTCCTGGCCTGGTCGGTGGTGGTGGTGGTGGTGTCCTCCCGTCCATCCTCTCCTCTCCCTCTTCCTCCAATCCCGCTTTCCAATAGTCTGCCATCCTCTCCTATCCCCTGCGCTGCTGCTTCGAGTTTCAGAGTTCGTCGATCGGCACGATGCCGACCGACACTGCAAGGCAGTGGACACGGACTTCTGTAGTGTTTCCCGGGGAATGCTAAACCTAGAGAAAGTTGGACCCATGTTGCTGGGGACCATATTTTGTGACATAGGTTTAGCATATGCGTTTCACTCAGGGACAGATGGTCTGAGGACCATCATGTGTGACGTCCGTTCCACTTATGGCTCAAGGGAAAACATTTCGCTTGCCTCTCCTGCTGCCACAGGGCCCCGCGGCCGACGACGACGGCGCGCGCGCGCGAAGAAAAAACGAATGTGTCCCGCGTGGTATTATTTGACAGGGATGATGGCCCTGGCAGGTGCGCAACCGTTCTTGCAGAAGTTCGAAAAAGTTGCTCGCAAAAGCCCGTTTGACAGAAATGATTAAAAAGTGTTGGGGTTCCTACGAATCCGCAAGAGCGCGCGGGATGAAATTTTGTCATTTTTTTGCAAAACCATAGGTTTTTTTATGTTTTTATGTTAAAATCGCTACGAAAACTAAGGTTTTGGAAGGATTTCGTCTTGCGCGCGCGAATGTCCACTTTACTTTATTTTTTGCAAGGGATTCTTGAAGTTTGGTTATGTTAGAACAAGAAATGTCCACTTTAGCCTTTTTTTTGCAAAGGGAAAACCGATCGTAACAACACAACCGGATCTGGATCACATCGTTTTGCCTGAGACTTCCTCACGAAAATGATGAAAATGTGGCTGCGGCCTAGGCGCGGCAGGGGGGCCGTGCACCAGGGGTCCCAACAATAATTATTCTTTAGAAGTAATAATGTTCAACAACAACAACAACAACAATCACTTTACCCTCATGCGCCATGCTTCCACATGCCACATGCTTCCATCATGATAACAATCCCCATTTGGGAGGACTTGTTCCCTGGCGCAGGGGGTCCGATATACCCATACCCAGAACTCCCGCCCAAGGAAGTCTCGCGAACACCTCTTCCGAGGAACCTCAAACTACTCCGCTTGGAAATACAATCGCGTTCGAAATACCTTCGCCCGCGCCCTGCTTCGCGGAGGAGAAGGAGAAGAAGGAAGAGGAGGATGAGGAGGACGACGGAGGGGGAGGAGCGAATATTGGGAAGGAGGGGGGGGGAGGGGGAGGGGGGGGAGGACCAAGGGGGAGGACGGGGACGAGGAACCGGAACGCTGGGTTTCACAAGGCATTTGGAAGCCCCCCGGAGGCGATGCCGAAACGAGGGCCCCAGTCTTGCGCAAAAGGCAAGGAAGTATCGAACGGGATTGTTGTAGGGGGGGCGTTTGCGGAAGCCGAAGAGGGGAGCCGTAAAAAGGGAAGAAGTAGGGTTTCCACAGGGACTCTGGAAGCCCCCCAGAGGCGATGCCGAAACAAGGGCCCCCGTCTAGAGTAAACAGTGCGAAAGTCTCGAGCGAGAGCGCCGTTGTTGTAGGGGGGGGCGCTTGCGGAAGCCGAAGAGAGAGAGAGAGAAAGAGAGAGAGAGAGAGAGCCGATGATGAGTAAAAGGGGAGGAAGTATCGAGCCGGAGCGCCGGTCTGGTGGGGAAGCGGGCTCTCGGCGGCGAGCAAGAGCACCGGGCCTGAGTAAAAAAGGAGGAAGTATCGAGCCGGAGCGTTGTTGTTGTTGGGGGGCCGGTTTTGGCGCACCCCCGAAACGCCTGAGCGTGAGCCTCAATTTCAGAGGAAATGCAGCCGGCGCCTAGGCGAGAACGCCAAAGCGGATTTAAGGGGTCCAACAATAATAATTGTTTAGTCATTGAGGTTCAACAACAACAACAACAACAACAACAACAACAACAACAACAACAAAAAAAAAAAAAAAACACACAAACACACAAAACAAAAACAGTCACACAAAACACACACACACGTGTTTTTTGTTGCCGAAGTATGAGGTCGAGGTCGGCTCGCGGAGGGTACCCTGGTGTTCTTCGTGCTTGTCGGGTGCTCCTGCGCACCCTGGGGAAGGGTATATACCCTCGGCGGTCTCGTGGTCCTGGGGCGTTTGGGCTGGCGCGGGGCCTCGTGCTCCTGAGGGATGTCGTGATGTCCGAGGTCCGGCCGTGCGGTGCATGTGCGCCGTCCTCGCCGCCGGTGCGAGGCCTTCGGGGGGGAGGGGTGGATCAGGGGCAACGATAGGGGGGGATACAGTGGGGGCGCGCGTCAAGAAACCATATGCTTTTCGTCAAGGCAGCCTGGGTTTCTTCGCTCCTCGCGCTGCGTGGTGACTTCCCGCAGCCGTTGAAGGAGCTACTGCGTTCAGGGTGCTCCGGGTTTCCTCTCAGATGTACCTCGCGCACGGGTTCTCACGGTTGGCTTTCTTGCGAGGGTTTCTCGCGGCCGCGCCCGCACTGTAGGCATAGGGGGGGATGCATCGACCCCCAATCGCCCATTGATCGCCGATAGAGTCGGAGATTGATAGACCTCCTACCCTGACACGTCGATTAGTGAATTGACCGTTCCTGGTTCGCGAGAGGGCGTCGCGGCCGTCATGTTTGCGGGTCCAGGCCCGTCGATTTTGGTCCCAGGCCGTTCTCACTAAAGGGTGGTTCACTAAAGGGAGGTTTGTCCACCGCCGATAGAGGACCGATAGCCCCAACCCGCCCAGGAATGTGCGGATTCACGATCGGGGGTCTACCGCCGATCTATCGGCGACGTATCGCCGATTCCAGGTCGATGCATCGCCCCCCAGGCCAGTCCCCCCCTATCGTTGCCCCTCGGTGGAGGGGGGGTGCAAGCCCCAGCACTCGGCCACGCGCAGAGGGGGGCTGGGCTCCTCAGAAGGAGGCTGCTTCTCAGGGGGCGCGGGGCCTCAGCTGCAGGTGCAAGGCCTCCTCCTAAGAAGCCTTCTCCTAAGATGCCTTCTCCTAAGAAGCCTCTCCGACTTCTGAGGAGCAGCCTCCTCCTAAAAAGCCTTCTCCCCTCCCCCTACCCCCTTGTTCGCGCCGCCCAGGCACGCAGGCCGCTGCTGTCGCATCGCACGCGACGAGCGGCACGCTCGGAGGCCTAGAGGCTGACACCAGCACCGATATCGGCAGTGTGCCTCCACCGAGGGAAGGTGCTCCAGATCTCGGCGATGGAGGCGATATGCGGGCTTCCCGCGTGGCCAGAATCCGAGAGATTGCCACCAACACACACCAGGATCTAGGAGCACCTCCCCTCGGAGGAGGCAGTCCCCTGTGCTGGGATTGGTGCCCATCTCCAAGCCTCGAGAAGCAAGGGCGCCCTCGAGGGCGCGAAGTTGTTCGCGCTGCGCGATTCGGCTCCTCCTCCTCCTCCTCTCCTCCCTCCTCCTCTCCTCCTCCTCTCCTCCTCCTCCTCCTCCTCTCTCCTCCCTCCCTCCTCCCTCCTCCCTCCTCCTCCTCCCTTTCTCCCTCTCCTCCTCCTCCTCCTCCCTCCTCCTCTCCTCCTCTCCTCCTCCTCCTCCTCCTCATCCTCATCCTCATCCTCATCCTCATCCTCATCCTCATCCTCATCCTCATCCTCATCCTCCTCATCCTCCTCATCCTCATCCTCCTCTTCTCCGAGGGGGGCGGCGCGAGAGCGCGAAGCTACTCGCGCTTCGCGCAGCGCGACGCGCGAAGTTGGGCGCCCTCGAGACGCCGCGCGCCGGAAGACCACTCCTGCCCGGGGCCGCTCCTGCGCGCAGCCGAGGGGGAGCTGGGCGGGCGGGCGCGCCGCCGGGCGCCGCGGCCGAGCGGCGGACGGGCCCGCGCGAGCCCCCGTTTCGGCGGGGCCTCCCCCGGGAGAAGCGCCGCGTGCCGACGCGCCCAGCCGGGAGGGGGGGGGGTGCTTCTCTCGGCGGCGAGCGGGGGGGGGAAGTGAGAAGGCGGCGGGGTTTCTCGGAAGCACTCAGGGCCTTCTGAGAAGTGGCTTGTGCCTCCGGGGAAGGCTCAGGAAGCCTCTTGGAAGGCCGGGGGACTTCCGAGCCTTCTAAGAAGGCCCGCTCCTTCTCACTTCCCCCCCCCAGGCTCGCCGCCAAGTGTGGCAGGGCCTCCCCCCCAAAAGAGGTGCCGCACGCCGACGCGCCCAGCCGTGAGGGAGGTGCCTTTCAGGGGCAAGGATAGAGGTTCCAGGTGGCGTTTTCGTGGGTCCTCGGCGGTTTTCCAGCCTCGGGATGCCTTCAGCAGCTGCGCCTCGCCGCGAGCGATCTGGGGCGTGCACAGATCGTCCCGAACGGTTGCCAGAGATCCGAGTTATGACCCGAAAGCCAGGGGGCAATGTTAGGGAGGGATAGACGCAGGGGGGAACGCATCGAACCCCCAATCGCCCATTCATCGCCGATAAAGACCCGATGGCGCACTTCGCCCAGGAACGTGCGGATTCGCTGTCGGGGGCCTGTCGCCGATCCATCGTCTATGTGTCGCCAATTCCAGGTCGATGTTTCCCCGCCTGAGTTGGTTCCTCCCTATCGTTGCCCCTCAGAGGAGAGTGCCTCAGCATGGGCGACGCTGATCACCAGCAGCATGCATCGAGGACGTTACATCTGTGGAAAACGAGGATCGCCGCGGGGGCCTGCGTCAGGAGGGAACGCACGAGAGGAGGGCAAACAAAGAGAGGCGCCACGCGCCACATAGCAGGCAGAGGCGCACGGGTGCGCCGATCTCCAGGCACGCCGCGGAAACATTGCACAACAAGTGCACGAAACACCATTCTGGCTCGAGGCATTCGCTTCTTGGTTCCAACCTCTTCACCCAGCGTGCGCACGCATTGAAATCTCACCAGGATGGCTGCGAGCGATGATTCCTCTCGCTTCGCGGGATGCACGTCCAGAATCTGTATAGAACGTGCGTTTGAGACCTCTTGGGAGCCTTCTGGTGGCCTCGGAGGGCCTCTTGGAGGCAGCTTGGGGGGTATCTTGGGGCATCTTGAGGGCCGTTCCACCCAACGTGCATGCTCAGCGCAATCTCACCACGATGGCCGCGACTGGTGATTTGTTGGGCAGACGCCATGCCTGCCGACTCCTGATACGTCTGGCTGCGCCTGGCCTCATGCCGGCGCTGACTGTGGAACATGAGAAGCGCAGGGGTTGAAAAAGGAGGAGGAGGAGAAGGAGGAGGAAGAGGAGCATAGGGACGAGGATGGAAAGGATGAGGAGGAGAGCAGCTGGATGAGGAGTACAGGAGGATGGGAAGGAGAGAAATGGCACGTGGAAGAGAGAGAGAGAGAGAGACAATGGGAATGAGACCAGAAGTCGTTGCAATGGTTTCTGGAGCCTTGAGGATCCATCTTTGGGTGTTCTTGAAATTTTTGCGAACTCTCTTCGGGTCCTCTCGGCATCTTGGGGGCGTCTTGCTGCCCTTCGGGGGCCATCTTAGATAATAGTGGCGTACTTTCGGGAGGCCGTCTTGGCGGCCTCGTGGGCCGTATTGGGACCTTCCCGAGGCTCTCTCAGGCAAACTCAGGGTCGTAGTGGGAAGGTATTGGACCACTCTTGGGCCGTTTGGGAGGTTGCATCTTGGGCCGAATTGAAGCATTGGGAGCCATTTCACAGACCTGTAGGTTATGTCTTATATTGTCTGTACGAGGCTCTGTTCGAGCCTGTTTGTGCCTCTCTCGGGGAATCCCGTGCTCTTCTCATTCCTGCTGGGGCATCTTGGGTAGACTTCGAGGCCTCTTGGACTGTCCTGGTGGCCTGCTGTTGCCCTTTCGGGCCATCTGGGCTGGCCTCGAGGGGTAACCGTCTCACGCGCCTGCCGAGGTGGTCGGCGGATCTTTGGAATCGTTTCAACGTTTGGGCCGTGTATTTCGTACTTGCTGCCCTCGTTGCACTGGGTGTTGGTGGAATCGTGGCCATGGTTTATGCGTGGCTTTATATGGACGGCTTCTCATTCTTGCGAATTGTTCTTGTATTCGGAGGGATTGTATCAAGCGTCTGCATGCTGCAGCGAAGACGCAGAGCACATACGCAACGCCTCAGACTTAATGAGGTACGAGCCAGGAATACTGACGGACATCCTCCGGGCACACAGGTCGTCATGGGATTTCGTCGACAATCATTCACTTGGACAGCAGAACACATCCCAGGGCATGTATTGGATAACTGGCAGCAAAAGACTGACGCAGCTGATACACATTTTCGGCAAGGTATGGGTGTCGAGGAATTCGAACGAAACTTTGGAGATCTCGCAGCTATGCCTGACTGGGTTGATTGGGACCTACTTGAGAAAGGCTGCAGCTTCTTCGTTCAAGTTTGGCCATTTATCTTCTTTGGATTTAGTTGGGCGCTTCTTGCAGGCTTTGGCGCCGAAACTGCAAGCGCCGTGCTGCTTAAATCTAGGTACTGGGCTGCACAGGGGGACACGGGTCGTTTAGACACTTGGAAACGCTTGCGCGAGACAGCATGTTGGCTCCACGACGTAGCTATGCACGGTAGCAGTGGCTTCATTCCAGGAGGTGTTTCTTGGAAAGCTTGTATGCGTGTGCGGTACTTGCATTGCCGCACTCGCGCCACCATTTGGAAATCAGGTGGATGGGACAAAGAGAAATACGGGGAGCCCATTAATCAGGTTCAAATAATCGGCACACTGCTTGGTTCAAGCGTGCTGCTGCTGAATGGCATGGAAGAGCTCGCCGGCGTTTCCTTGCCGACCGAGAAGAAAGAAGCCTTTATTCATTTGTGGCGCGTTATTGGCTTCCTCTTTGGTATCGAGGAAGAGCTCAATCCAAACCGCTCAGCCGACCGGGCGCAAGTAGTATTGGAATCGGTTTTCACACATGGGATCCCTGAGTTTCCCGACGAAAGCCTCACTGCAGTTTTAACGAAGCACATCTGTGAATCAGTGGCCCTTGGCATCCGTACAGAATTCGGGGCGCCTGTCACTGCAGGCATGGTTGGAGTCTCCGCCTGGTATTTCGTAGGACCGTCGTATGGAAAAGCGATTGGCCTTCCCGAGGCTTCCTGGCACGGCCATCTAATAGGTTTTGCTCGCAGATGCATGCTCAGGTTTGTGCTTCTGCTGTACTTACTTCTGCCAGGAGCTTCTTTCGTGTTTGATCCAATGATGCGTTATCTTTTTAGTGCCATGGCCTGCTCCATTCGAAAGAGGCAGCCTCAGTGCCGATTCGGCGTGGCCTGCCCTGTCAGTGGTTCCGCGCAAGGCGTATGTCCTGGCAAAGCGTAGTTGCCAGAGTGTGATGCGGATGAACCTACACACCATGGTGCAGTCATGGCCTCGACGACATGTCTCGGGGACTAAACAGTGACATTCACATAAAGACTCTGAGGTCTGCGCGGATTCGTCGGATCGGCGCTGAACCCTCATCACTGGCGCGCGGAGCGCGCCCGGGGCGGCGCCGGAGGCGCCGCCAGGGGCCCCCAGCACCGATGCGAGGAGTCTGCGCGGACGTCCGAGTCTTCATTTTGTGTCGCTGATTGTTCCCTCATGTTCGTCCGAGTCTTTATTTTATGTCACTGATCGTTCCCCTCATGCTGCCCGCGGGGTTGCACCCGACGCTGCGCCCTGCCAGGTGCCACCCGGTGCGCGCAGGCGGGCGGGCGCCACGGCGCCACGCGTCAGCACAGGCGTGCGCCGCGCCCCGCGCCACTAGTTACACGGGGGTGCGGCCGTGGCATTGACGGCACGCTGCCTGCAGTTCGGTCAACCCGCATAGTGGTGAGGATGCGCGACTTGCCAAGGCTACCCTTGCATCCTTGCCCTTCGGCCCATCCTTGGCCGCCTTCGCCGGCCGCGCCCCGCTCGGATTCGGCACGCTCGACATGGGTTCGACACGGATGGTTAGCGCGATGGGGCAGACGAGGTCTCCCCACAGCTGCATTGAAACATTTCCCCAGCTTGTCACCATTTTTCGTGGCTTGCCACTGTTTCTCTTGAGTCGCCTCCGTTTTCCGGACTGGCCGCTGTTCTGCGGGCTCGCCATTCGCGGCCTCGCGTGCGGGACGCCCTACAGCGCATTTCCTGCGGCGCCTGTGGAGCCTCGGGCACGCCAGGTTTCGCTGCGGCCAAAATCATCGGCGGACTCGTGAGCGCCTTCTCGGGCATGGTCGCTTCGAAGGTGATGCGTGACTGGCGTGCGTCTCTCGGCGGCGAGCCCGGGAGTGAGAAGGGGGCAGGCCTTCGCAGAAGGCGGCGGGGCTTCTCAGAAGGCCTCCAGTCTCCTGAGAAACAGTCTCTGTCGTCGGAGAAGGCTCAGAGAATTTCTCAGAAGGCGCCAGGGCTTCCGAGAAGCCCCGCCGCCTTTCAGAACCATTATTAAGATTCGTATTAGTGGGGTCATCAGTACGATTCGTATCGGTAATCCAGAAGCCGCATTAAAGTGATCATTTCCCCCCTCTGTGACAGAGGGGGTGTTTTTCGGAGGCCCTCTGTGACAGAGGGGGTGCGTTCGGAGGCCCTCTGTGACAGAGGGGGTGCGTTCGGAGGCTCTCTGCGACAGAGTTGCTCGTCATCCCGTTCCTCGTCATCCTGCTTCTTGATTTCGGATATGTCATGCTACCACTGCGCTCATCATCTTTGCGTCTGTGATCCTCGTCGTGTTTTTCCATGCGTCCTTTTCACAATTTCCACCACATTATCCTCCGTTGCCGTTCTGGCCCGCCATCTACCTCGTCACTCTCCTTCGTCTGCATGTCCTTATTCTCTTCCGCTCTTTTGTTCGCCCCCCCCTCTGGTTCGATTTCCGCTCTTCGTCCACTTCGTTCATCCGTTTCCAACCCCCCTTCCTTTCAAGTTCTCCGCCGTCCAATCACATCGCGTCGTCCGTCGCCGCTATGCTCAAACCATCCCGCGCCCGTGGGATCGCCCGCGAGCACCGGTGCAGCTGGGCCCGTCGCGGCCTAACGCGCGCCTGCGCCATCGTCTTGCAATGGGCGATGCAGGCGGATACACATGGGATGGCGCGGGAGGATGGTGGGATAGCCGCAGCAGCGGCTGGCGTGGCTGGGAGGACGGCCATGATTGGTCAGCGAGGGGTTGGAGAGACTGGCGACAAGACGGGCACACGCCAACGGAGGACGCCAAATTGCGCGATGGCCCTGCCGCCGCAGCAGCGGCGGCGGTCTCGCCTCAACGGCCGTCTCGCTTCGCCGCGCTTAGCGTTGTGAGCCCCCGCGCCCCTGGTCTCGGCATGCCCGAATTCGATATCTTCGTGAGGGCTGCCCTCCGAAACGTACCAGAACCTGGGAACGCAGTTTCAGGAGAGGGGTCGGGATCCCGAGCCGCGCCTGCGGCGCAGGAGCCCCGCGCCACCGCAGCGGCGGCGGCGCGCGGGCCCCAGGATTTTGAGAAGTTTGATGTTAATTATTTTTTGAGTTATGAAGAGAGGCTCGGCACTTCGTTTAAGCAACACAATCAAGCGTTGAAATGGTGGCGCCATCTGAATGAAGACCCAACTGCCCCGTTCGAGTCAGAAGCCAAGTGGTTTGACAATGCGGAGCCCACCATGGTCGCTGTTTGCGACCACGGTGCGAGAACGAGCTTTGGTTTCAAAAGCGACGAGGAAGTCCCTTGGCGGTGGCAAGAGATGGTGGCGACGCTCAGGGAGGAAGATATCAGGGAGGTCGTGGGGGGGCCCCGCAGCAGCGGGGCTCTGATCGGCTGTTCCCTCGAAGTCCGGCCAAACAGCTACGACCACATGCGTCAGAGTATTGTGCGCGCGCGACAGTTCGCGGGGCAGCGGGTGAAAGTGAAGCTGCCGATGTGGGATTTCGCGTTGCACCGCGACGACGGGGCAGGCGTCCGTTTACACCAGCACTGGGGCGACAGGAAAGTCGAAGCTCTGCCCCTCGTCCCCCGCGCGGACACGGTGAGGCCACCAGCCGCGGGTTTGGGCGGGAGCGACGGGTCAGGAACTTTTCGCTGGTACAAGGACCTCGGTGTGGAGCGCAAGGTCAAGTTCGACGCCGCCAGAGAGAAGGGGGGGCCGACGCCTTCTCAGGGGCCCCGCAGCAGCGGGGCCGCGGCGTCCAGCACCAGGCCCTCGGCGCCCGCAGCAGCAGCTGGCAAACCAGTAGTTTTGGGGCCGAATAACTCCCCAGACGATTTGGTTGCGGAGTAGATGGCTCCGCAGCAGCAGCGGGGCTCGAACGAAGGGCGCGTCGCATTTCGGCAGGGGCGCGCGCGTCGGCCGCCGAGATCGGGAGCGCGCGCGCAGGCGCCGTGGCGCGATCTTCGTTAAGAAGTCTTCCCTCTCCTCCCTGTCCCCCCATCCCGCCGCCCTCAACGTCGGCTCCTCGCCGCCCGTTCCTCGTCGCTCGACGCCTGTTCGTTCTCCTCAAATTTCCTCTCCCGCTTCTTCGTTCTCTCCTTCCCATTTTTCCCTCCATCCCATTGCATCCCTGGCGCCCCAGCGAAGTTCGCAGTTCGAAGTTTGAAGTTCGGAGTTCGAAGGTCGCAGTTTGAGTTTCGAAGCTTCGCACTTCGAGGTTCGATCTTCGAACCTTCGTCATCTCGTCGTCGTAATCGTCGTCCTCGTTCGTCGTCGTCGTTCCTCGTCGGCGTCGATTGTCGTTGTCGTCGTCGCTCGTTGTCGTCGTCGCCGTCGTCGTCGTGGTCGGCGTCGTCGTCGTCGGTCGTCGTCGTCGCTAGTCGTCGTCGCTGGTCGCCGTCGTGGTCATCGTCCTCGTCGTCGTCGTCGCGGTCGTCGTCGTCCTCGTTGTCGCCGTCGTGGTCATCGTCCTCGTCGTTGTCGTGAAACGCCCCACGTAGGAGGAGCAGAGAAGGGAGTAAGGAGAAATGAGCACGGTGGAGGGAGGAGGGAGGATTGAACAGGAAGAGGAGGGTGCAGATGGAGGTAGAAGGGATGAGGTAGTTCAGAAGTGGGAGCAGCAGACTGGCGCAATGGGAAAAGCCACGTGAGTGCAGGGAGGGATGGAAATGCGATAAAGTGAAGCCGCAGCCGTTGCAGGTCTGCCTCCCGCCGCGCCCGCCCGCCTCCGCGACGGAACCGCGCAGGAGCCTCTGCCGAAGTCTCCGCAGCAGCGGGGACTGCCAGAGGAGGCTCCTTCGCGGTTTTTGCGCCGCTATGGCGAGCATCGCGGGCAAGTGCGACGTCGATGACTTCGAGCTCATCGCGACGGAGGGCAGTGTTTGGAACTGGGCGACCATGGTGGTGCGGTTTTTCCAGTGGCGCAATCGTTGCCGCCATGCACGCGCCGTTGGAGAGAAGGGCCAGATGCTCGTCGACCAGGCGCGGCAGATGATGGAGGAGGCGCGCCGTACCGAGGAGAAGGGCAAAATGATGCTTGAGATGTCGAAGAAGACGGCGAAGGACATCCCAGGCAATATTCGGTACTTTTGCCGCCAGCCGCACCAGGAGAGCTGAGCGGCGATCGGAGCTGGGCCGATAGAGGAGGATGAGGAGGAAGAGGAGGGGGGATGAGGAGAGGAGGAGGAGGGGGACGAGGGGTTGGAGGCAGCACGCGCGCCCGCACTAAGAGCCGCCAGCCGCGCCCGTCTCCGAGCATGAAACCCGAGCTTGGCTGGAAGGGGGGAGGGTGGTAGCAGAAACAGCGCAGGGCAGGGGTGGGGGAGGTCACGCATCCGCCGCAGTAGTGGCGGTGGTGCGACAGTTCTCATGGCGGCGCGGCGGTCGCTGAGAAATGGAGCAAGTGCGAGGGCCTGCGTGCGCTTAATTATGAGTGCCTCTCGTCCCCTCCCCTCCTCTTCCTCCATGAGATCTCTCTCCTGGTGCATATCCCCTGCCAGGTCTCGTCCTGCTCCTCTCCCCCTGTGTTCGTCCTGCCCTCCCCTCACGCCTCGCCTCCGTCTCCGTCCCCCCTCGTCCGTTCCTGCCACCAGCCACATGGGGCGTTCTCAATCAACACCCCATTGAGTGTCCCCACGTGAAGGTTGCCCTTGTCATGAGGGCGGACTCGCAAGAGCCGAGTGGCTGAAGAACTAGTAGTTTGGGGTCCGAACAGCCCCCCAGACGATTTGGTTGTGGAGTAGGTGGCTCCGCAGCAGCGGGGCTCGAATGAAGGGCGCGTTGCATTTCTGCAGGGGCGCGCGCGTCGGCCGCCGAGATCGGGGGCGCGCGTGCAGGCGCCGTGGCGCGATCGCCGTTCTGAAGTCTTCCCTCTCCCCCCTGTCCCCCCATCCCGCCGCCCTCAACGTCGGCTCCTCGCCGCCCGTTCCTCGTCGCTCCACGCCTGTTCGTTCTCCTCCAACTTCCTCTCCCGCTTCTTCGTTCTCTCCTTCCCATTTTCCCTCCATCCCAGTGCATCCCTGGCACCCCAGCGACGTCCGCAGTTAGAAGCTGGAAGTTCGGAGTTCGAAGATCGAAGTTTGAATTTCGAAGCTTCGCACTTCGAGGTTCGATCTTCGATCCTTCGTCATCTCGCCGTCGTAATCGTCGTCCTCGTTCGTCGTAGTCGTTCCTCGTCGGCGTCGATTGTCGTCGTCGTCGCTCGTTGTCGTCCTCGCCGTCGTCGTCGTGGTCGGCGTCGTCGTCGTCGATCGTCGTCGTCGCTAGTCGTCGTCGCTGGTAGCCGTCGTGGTCATCGTCCTCGTCGTCGTCGTCGTGGTCGTCGTTGCCCTCGTTGTCGCCGTCGTGGTCATCGCTCTCGTCGGCGTCGTCGTCGTCGTTGTCGTGAAACGCCCCACGTAGGAGGAGCAGAGAAGGGAGCAAGGAGAAATGAGCGCGGTGGAGGGAGGAGGGAGGACTGAACAGGAAGAGGAGGGAGCAGGCAGAGGTAGCAGGGATGAGGTAGTTCAGAAGTGGGAGCAGCAGAGTGGCGCAAGGGGAAAAGTCATTTGAGCGCAGGGAGGGATGGCATTGCGATAAAGTGAATCCGCAGCCGTTGCAGGTCTGCCCCCCGCCGCGCCCGCCCGCCTCCGCGACGGGAGCGGCCCAGGGCATGGAGCAGCAAGGCGCGACTGGAACCGCGCAGGAACCTCTGCCGAAGTCTCCGCAGCAGCGGGGGCTGCCAGAGGAGGCCCCTGATGCAGTTCCGTAGGGACTGGCAGATTCAGCACCAGCCTCCGCAGCAGCGGGGGAGGAGGGTGCAACGAAACTTCGGACATTGCTTTCGTCGTTTTCTGGTGCCCAGGAAAGCGTTTCGCAGAGCCTGCTGGTTGCTCAGGAAATGATGGAGAAGGGCGAGATCGAAG